CAGGGTGCCGTCGGCCAAGCAATGTCGGCTGGCGACCCCCAGGGGGAGGGCCTTCTCTGTGGGTGCCCCTGCCCTCTGGAACGAACTACCCCCCGAGATCCGGATTATTCCGGATCTCCTTACTTTCCGCCGCGCCCTCAAGACATGGCTTTTCCAACAAGCGGGCCTGGCCTAGGGAGGATTTTTAAATTGGGTTTTTAGAAATTTTAATTATCACAACACAAAAATTTTGGTTTTAATTTGGTTTTATTCGGTGGGGTGTGTGGGTCTTTCTTTGTTTTAATAATGTTGTGAGCCGCCCTGAGTCCTTCGGGAGAAGGGCGGGATACAAATTGGAATAATAAAAATAAAATAAATAAGTGGAAGGGAGGCGAATTTGGGGTGGAGCAGAAAACATGGGGGTAAGGCGTTAGGAAATAAGCACCAAGGTACATGGTGCCTTGCGAGGGATTCCCGAGTGTTCCGCAATTGTTTTTCCTCTCTCCTCTGCACGAGAAAAATTTTTGCGGCGTAAATCTGAAATGAGTCCCTGGGGAGGGCGGGGCCTTGCTCTGCGCCTGCGCTCTTCACACGCCTCCTGCAGGGCACATTCGGTAAAGTTCGTGCAAGCTGCCGCCAAGCAGCATATTTTCCACAAACAAGTGAGGTGGGAAGGAGCGGAGCAGGGGGGGGAGGAAGGCAACGCCGTGGGGGGGGGAGGAAGGCGACGCCGCGTACCACCAGCCAGGTGGTCGCGTACCACAAGTGGTACGTGTACCACCGGTTGACAAGCCCTGTTGTAATGGACTGTTTGCAGTCTATTTGGTTGCTGAGAGCACACACTGTGTTTTCTCAGGCATTGTATTTTCTCAGTGGCAGCTCCTGCCCTTATTTGGGTAGATGGAACTCCACCTGCCCTTATGGATTCTTCTTAACTTTAGTCCTCCCCTTTGATTATACTGATGAAAGTCACCTTACAAGGAGTTCCTGCTCTCATACAGTTCTAAAACAGTGGTGGGATTCAGCCAGTTCACACCACTTCGGCTGAACCGGTAGCTAATTTTTTGTTGCCCAGGCCCAGAATGGACTTCCGGAAGTGGCATCCACACACAGAGAACCGGTTGTTCGCCTATTTGAATCCCACCACTGTTCTAAAGTCAATGAAACTATTGAGCCTTCCTGTCAATCAAAGTAATGATGTGTTTTTATTAACATCATCCCACAAACTGCCATTTGTTTTTGGCTGGGGTTACACCATACCTTGAACAACAAATTAGTCAGCCATAATTTTGCCTAGCATGCCCATACATCGGGCAAATCAGAAAGCTGGCTTGAATAAATCATGGTTACAGACAAATCGATACAGATCTGCTCTGTGAATCTTAGTAATTCCAGACTATGTCCCACACTAGATTTTACAACAGTAATAAAAAAATAGAAAGCAGCACTAATATAAAATGGTTGTTTTTCTGAAGATCGAATAAAGTGTAGGGCAGGGGTAGGCAACCTCGGCTCTTTTATGACTCCTGGACTTCAACTCCCAGAATTCCTGAGTCAGCTATGCTGACTCAGGAATTCTGGGAGTTGAAGTCCACGAGTCATAAAAGAGCCGAGGTTGCCTACCCCTGGTGTAGGGGAAGAGACTCCCGTTACTATGACACCAGGGACGCTTTCGGCTTTCCTGTTCTCGCAAGAATTGGCAATCCCGCGAGAAGGGACGAGGGGGAGTAACCTCTCAGTAGCTCCCGGTCCCATCCTCTACAATCAAACTCGCGCTTTCACTAAAAGTTCCTCCTTGCCGGCTTACTCTTCTCCAAAAGCCAATGAGAGTTTGGCACAGTATTGTACCGCAGTACTGGGATTAAATCAGTGACCCACATCGCCCGATTTCATATTCGCAGCGGGCTGCTAACTGCCTACCAACGCTATACGTTGCCTTGCGCACGAGCATTTTCCTAAAAAAAAAAAGTGGTTTTTCGCAGTTTCCGACACCCCTTCGCATTTTAGCAATCCTCTAAATGCCTTGGCCTCCGTTCCCATACTTCCAGCAATGCTAACGGCCGACGATCCTGGGTAGAGAAGCCGGCCGATGCAATCCAAAGCAACTGGAGCAGGGGTTCTCAACCTTGGCAACTTTAAAGACTTGTGGACTTCAACTCCCAGAATTCCTCAGCCAGCAAAGCTGGCTGAGGAATTCTGGGAGTTGAAGTCCACAAGTCTTAAAGTTGCCAAGGTTGAGAACCCCTGAACTGGAGTGTTGGGGACAGAGGCTGTCCTGGTAAATCGACAGCCTTGCCAAAGGCTCGGTTCTCTCTTGCCAGGTGGCTGGGCCACTCCAGCGACATAAGTAAATATCTCGCAATTGTGGGGACATCGACGCAGGCTAAAAGACCAAACCAAAAAGAACAGCGCGTGTGGCTGGAAGGCAACTCCAAGACCCTCCATCCTTGCTTCATTGGCCAAGGGCCGAGACTAAGCGTTTATTCCGCGCCCTCTCCCTTGGCGGCTCTGATTTCCCCGCTCGCCCTTTGCCTTCACTTGGAGGGGGGGGGCGAGCTCGCGAAGCGATGAGGCCCACCTCCGCCACCGATGTATCTTCCGCTTGCGCGCAACGGGCGGAGAAACCCAGCCCGGGCGCTGAGGTCGCGTCGGCTGCCGCAAGGGTTGCCGGTCCATAGGCTTGCGGGCGGGCGGGCGGTCCGGAGCCCGGACGTAAGATGGCGGCGGCGTTGACGGGGGTGTGGAGGAGGAGGAGGAGGGGAAGACGGAGGCCGGGGGGGTGGCTCTTGTGGCTGTCGCGAGGCTCGGGCTGTGGAGGCGGCGGGCGGTTGTGCCCGAGCTCCCAGGACGGGTAGAGGGAAGAGGGCTCGGGGCTGGCAGGACTCCGGGCTGGGGCCAGGCCGCCATGGGCTCCCAGTTGCTGCAGATCCTGCGCCAGGGCGTGTGGGCGGCTTTGAGCGGCGGCTGGTACCAAGACCCGCACCAGGGCGCCGGGGTCAACGCGTTGCACCTCTACCTGTGGCTCTTCCTGCTTGGCTTCCCTTTCACGTTATACATGGTGAGTGAGGGAGCCGGCCTGACACATTCCCCCCACCCCCCCCGGCCGGGAGAGAAGGAGGGGAAGGGGGCTTTTCGGGCTTCAGCCTCGCCTTCAGGTTGGGGGGCTACTGCCTTTGCCACGCGCGGAGCGTTCCCACTCAGGTTGGGCTGGAGAGCCGCCTGGAGACCACCGTCGCCGCTCTCCCGCTGCTGCTTTTAACTCTTTATTTTGGAGGCGGAGGGCGTCGGAATAAAGGGCCGTTGCCTGCTTGTTCGGGTTAAACGCTAAGCTATTAAACTGGGGAAGAAAAGGAGTCCACAACCGACCTCGGCTACTTAAAAAAAACACAAATAGAAAAAGGTTCTCGTGGCGTGACCTCTCTCCTGTCGTTTGAAGCGGATCCGTGGCTTTTTTTTGGCCTCCTCGTAGGCTATGGATTCCCCCCCCCCACAGGAAATGCTTTGTGTGGAAACCAATGTTCCTTTTGCATGTAAAGCTGAATGGGGGGGGGGGGAGCAATCTTACACGTGGGGTGTTTTGATGAGAGTCCGCGTCCTCCAAATCCAGGATTGGCTGCAGCTTGTCCCACATACATAGTTGTTGAGCGTGTAGTTGTGAAGGACCAAGGATAAATAACTACTAAGGCTTAGGCAGGAGTCGGTCCGAAAGTACTGAAACAACAGCTGGGGAGGGAGGGAAGTGTTGCTGCTAATGTTCCCCAATTGGACATGCATCCCTGTCTGTAGTGGGATAAGTAATGCTCTCTCTCTCTCTCTCTTTTTTTTTAATAGAAATCCTATAGCTGGAGGTGCAATTAAATGATCATCAGATGCTCTTCCCAGTGCTTATTTTATTTTTTATTGATGCTGATGTATAATGTTAATTTAATAGTTATTGTCTTGATTGGAGGGATGACAGAAGGCCACGTATTTCGGTAAAAACTTGAAGTCTTTGTCTGTACTGATTCAGAAAGCATACACTGTGGATGAAAAACTGCACAACTTCGATAGACTACAGCGTATATTTCTACTACAGTATGGTTTAAGCTACATTTGCGTTCTGTGGATTAATAAATGAGCTGATGAAGAGAGAGAATGAGATTCTTTCTCTTGCTGTAAACAAATAAAATCACTGTAACTTAAGCCCAGCCAGGTCATGTTATGGGAAAGCTACGAAATATTTCTTAGAATCACTTTTTAAATATTTTTTTCTATGCATTTATTGCAATATCACTGATATTGGCCTACTGAAATCTAGATGTTGGTAGCCATAAACTGCTAATGGCATAAACAATTATACAAATATTTTTGATAATTTGATTTCAGAAATGAATAATGAGCTGAAGAATTAATAGAACAGAATTGGGAAATGAACATGCTAAATACTATTCCTGGCTCATTCCCCTTACCAAATTCAGTTCTGTCTAATGTAGGGGAAACTTTTTTGTGTGAGTATGGTGTTGCCATGACAACCAGACATTATTGCACTTTATTCCTTGGAAATTCTAGTAAACATAAAATACCAGGGAAAAGCTGACTTGTGAAAGATTTATGTTTTTCATCAAATAAGACTCTAGAGAGAATTGTGCATGAGGTTGCAACTAGAAGAATAAAATGAGGAGGGCACACTACACAAACATCTTACAGTACAGTACTTTCTTGAAATTTCTTCCTCTCCAATCTCTCTGTGGGGAGGGGGAGGAAGCAAGTGATTTCTATAGACAATCTCATTTGCCTGATTTTTTCCTGCAGCCAGTGTGATCACATTGCTTTCAATGTGTAAAAGAGCACTTCTGCACTTGTTCTCTTAAAATCCCACTCCAGTCTCCACTCTGCGATGGAAGGAGGGTGGCTTTGTGTGCTTGGGCCTTCCAGTGGATGAGGTTGCATTGCCCCTCACAGACCAGGTACACAGTCTGGGGGTCCTCTTAGATGTGTGGTTAAGAGGGCTATTGCACCATTCCTGGACCAGGAGGCTCTGGTCACTATTGCTCGTTCCTTTGTGACCTCCGGTCATAATTTTTGCAATGTGCTGTACATTGGGCCGCCTTTGAAGAGCAGTCAGAAGCTTCAACTGGTACAGAATGCAGTTGCATGGGTAGTAAATGGTGTCGGATACTTGGCATATGTAACACCCCTACTTCTTGAGCTGCATTGGTTGCCAGTGTGTTTCTAGGTGCAATTTAAGATGTTGGTTGTCACCTTTAAAGTCCTTCATGGCTTGAGACCAGGCTATACAAGGGACCATCTTCTCCCAGTTGTTTTTACCTGTCCAATCTTGTCCAGCAGAATGGGCATGCTTTGAGTCTAGTTACCCAAGGAATATCTGCTGGCAGGAACTAGGAGAATGCCTTTTTTTCTGTAGTGCCTATGCTCTGGAATATTGTCCCTTAAGACATTTGGTCTTGATCTTGTTGACTTTTCATAAGTCCTTGAAGATCTAGTTATGTGGCTGGGCTAGGGTCCTGAGTTTCTTAAGGTTCCCATTTCCTGGTTATCATTTTCAGATTATAATTTTCATGGCTGAAAATTATGGCTTCTGTCTTAAGATAGTCATACATATAATTCTTTGTAATATCTGCTCCTTAATACAAAAGCAAAAAGATGATAAATAGATCTTCAGGGAAGGAAATAATTCTTGGATAGGCTTGAATTAACTGGAAAGGCCAACAATCTTGTAGTGAACATAGGTTGGATAGTCACACCTCAAATCACAATTGACTCTTTATGAATTGCACATTTTGCCATGGGTATAAGGTATATACTAAATAGTAGTGTTGTGGTTATCTCATTCTTTGGTTTCAAAGTACTATTTATTCCAAGCTTTCTGACTTTGGACCAGTAGAACAATTACACATAATAGCAATATTTATTTAGAGTTTGGGAAAAGAGATTATTTTAGGATGTGGCTTTTAACTATGCACAGGAGTAATTAACTTCAAAATTATGAATTAAATTTAATGCAGTGATACCTCGGTACTCATTTTTAATTGGTTTCAGGAGGTGTGCTGAGTACCGAAAATGATGAGTACCAAACAACTTTTTCCCATAAGAAATAACGTAATAGTTACAAGAAAACCAACATTGACAAATTTAGCTTATGTGTTGAGTAACAAAACAATGATGTCAAAATGTGTTGAGTATCAAATTCAATGAGTTTCAAAGCAGCTGAGTACCAAAATACTGCTGTACTTCGTTCAAATATTAGGCATCTATTATGGCATACATTTTGATTGATGAATGTAGGTTACCTATAACCTGGGGCCAAAGCTTGGTTATAAAACTCTTTCACTCTATCAAATAGTGCAAATTTTCTTTGCTTTTGTAGAGAAATCTTATAATTTTCTAATTAAATTACAAAATAGATAAGGCTACCTATTGAGCATATAGTTTGTTTATTTTGTCTGATGTAGTTCTTCCCCCTTTTGAGAGGAAGCTAATATGTATTCCAGGAATTGTTTCACCATTGCTTAAATACTCACATCTAGCATTATAGATTTTGTATTAAGCAGGAGATTAAATTAGAGAAACAAAGTCCTTTTAAATGATGATCATGTATGACTTGATCATTTCTGTGTCAAAATAGTTTCTATGTTGGAAATCTGTGAAATGAGATTAGCACTGCCAACTGTTGTATTATAAAGCAAATGTTTGTTCCAAATCAAAAGGTCCTATATAAAGATGTATAGTAACAGAAATGTTAAATTAATTTCTGATTTGGCTATCTTAGATGCCAGGTGTAGGCTCAGACATTCTGTGCTCATTCCTCCCTTTTTGCTATTTTTGGCTGTTCATGTAGCACAAAATAAGTGAGCATCAAAGGAGATAATCACATTAGCAACCTGGAATATTTACAACAGAAATATCTAAACAAATATATTTAGGCTTTTTGGATGTGATTTTCTTTCACTGCTGCATCAACAGTTGCTTGTCTGCCACTTCCAAATATAGTACATTGAAAACCTTTTTAGCCTTGAAAAGGTACAATTTTGCACATATATGTGAAGATATATTATAAACTCACAACAAAGAAGAAAATAGATTGCCCCATTAGAATTGTGTTTGGGTCTGGATAATTTTTTCAGATACTCCTGTTATAACGATGGAAGCTTTGCTGTGAATTCTATGCATAAAATGGCAGCTTAGATCTTGCCTTTTTAGTCAATATGTTAATACTATCTTCAACTACCTTTTGGATAGAACATAAATTTTGTTCAGAAACGGTGGCCCTTATTGTGCAATTAAGATTAAAATCTTGTCAGTTTCATGTAAGTTCTTGACTTGATATAACCGTGCACCATATCACATATGCATAGGGAAAATTGAATATGCTTTACATTCTGATGCAGACAGGAAGCGAGTTGGCAAGAAATGAGAGGAAATCATAGTATAAATCTTGGAAAATATAAAATGCTAAGAAGTTTAACAAAGAGAAATATTTATCAATGTAGCTTGTTTTGTAACTTGACATACAATGTAGGTTGACATGCAATGAAAAAATAAACATTGCTAGGTTAGGTGGAGGGTCAGTTTAAATATTTTGTTTGCAACAAGTGCCTCGTCAGCTGCTTCTGGGTACCCGTAGGCATAACACAATAGTAATGGTATAACTAATGTATGAGTCATCCAGTCGAGATAGGCGGATGTAGAAAATAAATATTCAGATGTGTAGTATTTAGGGAAATTTTGCTCAGGAGCAGAGAGCTTCTGTTGATAAAGAATGGTAAATGCAACTGTCAGTGGCTGACTGAAATTCTGTTATGATTATTGAAAATGATCGCCAATTACCTAGTGAATTTTCTCTTGACTTTTTTTGGAACAATTGCGCTTTGATTTCATTGGATAAAACTGGGGTCATTTTAGGTTATACATTTTGGAACTGCTGTGATGGGCAGTCCTCACCTTAAAGTCCAAGTGGCTTGTTTGGCATGAATTGCTTTTCACCAACTCTGGGTGGTACAGCATCTGCATCTTCTTTCTAGCTAGAGATAATCTTGCTGCAGACTGGTGCAGTACATTATTAAATGTGAGGCTATATTTGAAGACTCCTTGAAAACCTCTTTACGCAATAAGACATTTAGATTAATAACAGGAACTAATTTCTTTTACGGATCTTAAAATGGCCATTTATTTTGGAGTGTAATTTAAAGTGCTGATCTTGACCTTTAAAACATTATAGAGCATATAAGCCCATAAATCAACTTTTTTCTCTATTAAGCTATCAGATCTGTGGACACTACTATATTTGAACTTTTTAAATGTTGGTTTCGATTGGCTACTTTGGATTTTATTCTCCTAATTAATGTATTCTTGTTTCTCAATTACAATTTCAAACCTCATTCATTCACAGAATATTGTATATCATTTCTCTCTTTCAGGAATTATACATTTTTTTCTACTTAGCAATCTGTAACATTTTTTTCTTGATGAAGGAATTGGTCTACTTAAATTTAGGAAAGTTTTGACAATTTAGACATTTGAGTTGAGGTATTCTCTTGAGGATTAATTGACATTAGTAAATTAGAATATCATCTGCATCTTTTCATATAATTCATCACCTATTTTCCTGGCTAGAGGTAGCCTGATTAGTCTTCCATGTTCTGTTTGGCTTAGAATATAACATTTCATGTGGGATATGCCTGTGAAAATAGTTCTGAAGCTGCAAATTCTGTGGCTGCAAGTGTTGTGATTACTTGTTTCAGTTTTGAAGGAACTTGCTTTCAAATTATTGCACTTCACATTTTTAGTCCTTTCATTTAAAGCTTAACTGATTTGCAGTTATCCTTCTAAATTCATTTGTCCATAACTTGAGAATGGAAGAAGTCTCTGTTCATTATGTGGAAAAAAAATAATTTAACATGTGGAAACAGCTAGCATTGTCAATGCCAGTGTCTTAAGCTTGTTTTGTCCTCCTACAGCATTGGTACAAACTTTGGCTTCTTTTCAATAACTAGTTAAAGTACTTATTGCATGAGCATTAAAAAAAGGTTTTAGAGATTTAAAATTAAATCTGGTTGATGTAGTTTTATATTTTGATTTTGGGTAGCTTAATTGGATTAAATTTTGAATTTTGGTGGCTTCCTGCATTGTCCAGAAAGTCCACTGAGGTAAAAATATATTAATTTCTAAACCAAATTGTGATGATTTTGGATTAGCCTTATCTTCCTAATATTTTATATTCTTAGTTGGATGAGGCAAAACATCCCTCTTTAGAGTTAATGCTGGTTCATTCTCCATAACATTATTTTACATGTGTTAATAATTCAAACTGTGATGACATTGTACCTGGTTTCTTGGAACAGAATTATTCTCAAAGTGTACACGTTCCTATTAGTTTCTTGGAGCACTACTTTAAAAAGGCTTTCCGTATTATTGAAGATAGGATATTTTAAGTTATTCTTGTCAAAATATAAGCTCAGTGTTACTTTTGAATTGGAATATACCATCTGACTATTGATTAATGAACTTGTAATTAGTCAACTACCTCACACAATTTTCTTTTGGCATTAATGTTTGATATAGATGGAACTGTGCCTCATTCACAAATATTGGGTTATGGTGCGTATTTTTATCTAATTTTCTCTTCCTGTCATTTTGAAACTGCAGTCTTCCTTTCTTAACTTTTCTTTGGGTAAGAATTCAACAAATCTAGTAATAATCTTACTCCAGCACTGATTACGTGCTTGGACAATTTCATATTATTTGCCCCTCAATTTTTTTCTTCTGCCTTATCAGTCTTTTACACTTGTTCTTCTGTGTTTTTCCTTATTTTAGAGTGGCTTCTACTTAAAGACTCCTTGATGTTTATCAAGAAGGGGTATTTATTGTAAATGGGCTTCATTTATCCAAAGACCATTCCCTACAAAAATATCAACAATTGGCCGCCATTACTTTTTTTGAATATTTTGTTGCCTCTCTTTCCTATTGTAAAGTTTGTCAAAAATCTCTCTCTTTAGCCTCTCTATATCAATTTTTTCTTGTATATATGTTTAATTTCATAGTATTCTTAATCACTGCTTGCTCATAATTCATAACAATTTCTCACTAGAGGATACATAAAGACTTACCTTTCCTTTTTCAAGTTAATGGCTCTTCTACTCCAGTGCATAGTCCAGAAGCATTCTTTAAGGACTTGTCATAAAGCATACATCTGAAGTGGCTTAAATATTTTTTTCTGATTTTAGGGTATTTGTATTATTGCTGCTATGAAAAAAATTCTGCTGAAAGAATATTCATTATTGTTTCTGCACCATCAGTTATGTTTATGAGCATTCTAAGATGTGTTCATTAATATAACTGAAGGACTTGCAGCATTAAGTAAGTAGACCTCTGTGGAATTGAGGCAGTTGGGTACTGTAGTGTTTTTTCATTACCATGGTGCTTCAGGTTGAGCAAGTAAGCTTGAGCCAGTTTGACAAGGCACAATTTCTTCAAAAAGAAATTATAAGGTGTCACTTTTCCCAAAAAAGTGTTATGATACCATGAATTCTAGAATACATTGAATTAATAATATGACAAATGGGTTAAATGATTAATTGCAAATATTAAAATACTAATTTTTACTCCAATAAAAAGGTGGCCCTCACTGTAAATCTTAATAAAAAGTGTGCTCTCTTAAATTCTAGAAACAACTCAAACAATAAGAAGTACTTAATAGAATTGTCAGAATTACGCTTGTTTTTCAGAGTTCTGATTCCCACAACATGTGCAGAAGAAATATAAATAGAAGCATCAATAATTTTTACTAATTTTTAAAGCAAAGATAGTGATATTCCTTTTTTTTTCACTTGCCCATTTACTTACCCATGCAGATAATTAAGTTTGCAATAGAAGACATTTTATCTAAATTGATATATAATAATTCTGACATGTAAAAAATAAAAAACCCATCGATTTATATATTAGAGGTCAAGAATGGTGAGGAAAAAGCTAATAAATTCAGAACAGTAATTGATGTTTGAGTAGAATAGTGATGGAGATGATATGTAATATAAAACATATACCTATAAAATAGAATCATTTTTCAAAAATACTTTTAAATAACCTTTTCATTATTAATTGATACTAGATGAAGAGTGCAAATATAGATAATTCAGCAGTTCACTAATATCTAATGCCTAATGCCCATATCCTTGCCAAATAGGTACTATTTTTAAGTTAGAGCTTAAAGTACTCAGTGATTTAATTTACTACAGTTTCTACTCTTCAAAGCTAATACACATTGGAAGCAGTCAGGGCTCTTAACAGCCATTATTAAAACAAGCTTGTCTGGATCTTGTGATTGGCTGATAGGACAAAAATTAAATACCGTACCATTCTGTTGGTCAAAGAAATGTAGAAGGCCAAAATTGTGTTCAAGATTTTTCCAGCTGGAGAGTTCATTAGAATTTCATAACCTGTGCGCTTTTATTTGTACATAAAGCTCTCTATCCTCTACTTGCCTTTAAGTCAGATAGATTATTCTGATTGACCACATGAACCCGTCTCTCAGGTAGTAGACTCATGCATGACATTTGATTATTCACATATATAACATATTCATTCCCATGCTAATAACTGAAGGTAAAATGTCCTGTTTTCACTCAGGAATGGGTGAGAGTCCAGAGAGTAAAGATACAGTCTTTTGGGCAGGACAGTTGGCACATACTCAGCTGTAGCAATTGTTATTTTATTAAATTTATTTGCCGCCCATCTCACAGTTTCAGGCGACTCTTATTTTATAACTATAAAAACAGATTAATATAAATGTAATATAATATAAAGTTAAAAAAAAACACCTGAGTTTGGAGTGGAGAGGTGGTGATGCCTTCTCTATTACTGTACCAACCACCTCCAGCCAGCAGCTTCTACTTCAGGACTCTAAGCCAACTGACATAGCCACGTTTTCAGGCTTTTCCTAGTTTGAGGCTAAAAGAGAGGGGACAGATCTCACCTCCTTTAAAAAGGTGGGGGCCGTGCAAGAAAAGGCTCTTCTCCTGGATCCCGCCAGCCAAAATTGGTGCAGACTGGATAGAAGCATGTATATGAGTATGGTGGATGTTATGCCCTGCAGGTGTGTTGAACATTAGTTTGGGAGACATCTACCATAAAAACGGCTTTGTTATTTCTTAATAGCTAGCTGGTGATTTGGACTTTGCGGTCCTTTTGCTTCCTTGCTGCATATGCTGTAGCTGAATTGTGGTTTTCAGCATCTTAAAGCATATTGAAAAGCTTTTACTTTCTCAAATTTCTCTTTCAATTACATTTTAAATCAGTCTTCCGCTTTTGAGAATGTCCTGTTTGAGGTTAGTCACGAATATGTTGGCCTTTCTTAATAGTTCACTATTTAAATAAGATTTGATGGCATTGTGCTCAGTTTCTATTCAGTAATAACAAATATGTTGACTTAGGATTAGGACCTCATTTATGATCAGTTCCATAACCAGCATGGTACAGACTCTTAGATGATTGTTGCATTTCATCTGTTTGGTTATCATTACATTTTTGTGTGATTGGATGGCTGCATTTGTCCAGCCTGCATAAGAGTAACTGAATATTAGTATAATCCTTTTTCCTTTCATTTTCCAGCTCGGTATCATTTTTAAAAAGAGTCCTTAACAATTAATGCCCTTTTCCAGAGAAAACATAAACTCACAATTTAGACATAGGTCTAGACATAACTTATGCTTCTTTTCATGTATAATGTATATTTATATTATTAACTATATTTTAATTACTGCCTGAATATATTGTACTTGACAAGTTGTGAATACTCTTAACCAGATTCAAAGTGTATATAACTAAATGTTTGAAAATAATTTCCCTAGTTTCCTCCTTGTAGCTAATTCTTTTTTTTCTTTTTCAAAAGGCTCTTCCTTCTTCCATGTTGATAGTAGCAATTTACTGCCCAGTGATAGCAGCTCTCTTCATTGTTCTGAAGATGATAAACTACCGTCTTCACAGAGCACTTGATGAAGGTGAGATTGTGGAGAGAAATGCCAGTGAGCATATGGACAGGAGTGCAAAAGCAGAGCAGAATAACTCTTCTACCAAGAGACGGGACAGTAACGGACCCAGGTAAGATAGCTTCAGTGTGACCGGTTTTGGTCACTATTTATATTCTGGTAACTATTTATTTTCTGAGATGATTTTTTAAAAAGTTTTTATTTTTTTATCCTGCCTTTATTATTTTTATAAATAACTCAAGACGGGTAACATAACTAATGTTCCCTCCTCCTCCTATTTTCCTCACAACAGTCCAGTGAGGGAGTTGGGTTAAGAAAGAGTGACTGGCCCAAAGTTACCTAGCTGGCTTTCATGCCTAAAGTGGGACTAGAATTCATAATCTCCTGGTTTCTAGTCTTAACTATTGGACCTAATTAATGATTCATTCCTTCTTGTAGGCAACAAGACTTGTTTTGTCATGTTATGGCCTACCTGCCACTGTGTACTCATAGCTACAGATTATCTATCTGCTGACTTTATTTCGAAGCCATTCTGTACAAAAGATAAGCAGATTGGTCCAGGTTCAGCCTAAACCAGTGATGGCGAACCTTTTAGAGACCGAGTGCCCAAACTGCAAACAAAAACCCACTTATGCATTGTCGGGTGCCGGGTGGGTGTGGCCCATTGGATGGGTGTGGCTGCGGTGGTAACAGCAGACTGGGTGGGACTAAAAAGTTNAATCAATCAATTCCAACTTTGCAAGATGTTTTTTTTCCTGCAAGAAGTTGAAATTGACTGATTGATTGAACCTCTTTTTTTTGTACATGGCGGTGGAGGCCTAAAGCGAAAAGGTTTTATAAAACCCAGCTGAAGGCCTAGGACTGGGGCGACGGCGCGCGTGCCCACAGAGAGGGCTCTGAGTGCCGCCTCTGGCACCCGTGCCCTAGGTTCGCCACCACTGGCCTAAACAGAGATTCAGACTTTCCCTTGGAACAAATTTGTATTAAAAGTTTCGTCCTCATTTTAATTTTCTGCTGAAGGACATTGTGGCCCTCATAATAACTTTTCTTATTCCCATGATTCAAGTTGGGTAAGGGAGAAACTGACATCCTTATTTCTCTTTTCATTATTCAGTGCTTATAGCAGTTGTTCCTTGCTTTTAGTTAGCCTCCAGAACACAAAGCATGATCACTCGTGCTTGGTCAGCTCACAGAAGGACTTATGCAATGTATTCTATATAGGTCTGCCCCTGAAGAGCATAAATAAACTACAATTGTTGAAGAATGTGGCGACACAGGCAAATATGAGCATTCCTCATTTTGCACATATTACATCTTTGTTCTATAGCCTGTATTAGCTTTTGGTAAAAAAAAAAAAAGTGCTGGTTGTTATCTAAAAACTCTTTATGGCATGAAACCAAGATATTTGAAGGACCACTTCTCAGTGATTGTTTCTGCCTGCTCTATTAATCTGCTTGCAGGGACATGCTTTGGGTCCAGTCAATTAAAAAATGTCATTGGGGAGGGGAGGAGAGGAGTAGGGGGCAGGGGAGGAGCAGTATTTTTACAGTTGTAGTGCCTTTGGAATACCTTACCACATGAAATTAGCATGCCCTGCTGGCATTCTAGAAAGTATTTAAGATTTGTTGGCTTATGTGTGAGGATTGGTAGTTAGTGAGACTTGGTTCATTATTTTTATTTCAGTGTTCTATTCTTGGCTGCTGTTTCTTATTTATGTATTTAGTTGGTTTATTTATATTGATGAATTTTATATTTTGTTTGCTACCTGGAATCACTTTGGCAATAGTGTGGCTATAAATTAAAATGAATAAATAAATTCCAGTTTGTACAAACTGAAAATAGAACAGAACAAAAGAATTATAAAATAATTCTTGCTCTCCTTGCATTTCAATAAGCTCTTAAAAAGTGTCTCTGTCCCCAGGTCCTGGTTTAAAGTGGGTGATGGGTCCTGTGTGGGTCCCCCCCCCCAAATAATCACTGATTTTTCCTGGACTTTTAATGAAGTTTGTGTTTTTATTGTGCATCTTATAAACTACTGAGTTATAGAAGATTGGATTACTATTCTGGCTTGTGTTCTTCAAAGTTCTTGTTCAGTATCTATTCAATTATAAATGTCCTATTCCAACTGTTGAAAGTAGTAGAAAATGATACGCAGAATTGTATCAATTGCTTATTGAGCTAAAATCATTATGTGTTATTGTGGGTTGCATTATGCTTACATTTGCGGTCTTCATAAGAATATATTCACCCTGGATCTATTATATAGCCCAGAGTTTAAAGAGTAACACTTGAAAACCCAAGATTTTCAAACAGGTCCCTTCATTTTTCAGCATGAATGACTTTTGCCACAAAAAGTGCCTGTAGTGAGTGTGTTGGAAACTTTTTACTTTTTTATTCGTCTCAGTCCCAGCAACTGATTTCCTGCTGAGGGTACAGAGAATGTTAGTAGCCTTAGGAACATTAATGCCTACTCAGCGGCTGCTTAAAAGTACCCATGAGATTTTGATTGGTGGATTCTAAAGCATGACAGTTAAGTGGGTACATAGCTGGCTCAGAAAAATCATATGAAGGATTCATCATCAACAGGAGAAGAGTATCAAACAGAGAGCCATATGGTTCAGTCCTCTGTTCTTATGTATTCATTAGTGCAGATTATAACAAATGTGTGGGATAGCTAATAACCAACAACAATCTTGATAGGTTAGAGAAACGAACTGAAAGTAATGGAAGGAAATTGAATATAGAAAACAGCAAAGTTGTACATCTGAAAAGCAAAAATCAAATGCAGCAATATAGCACAGAGGTTGTTTGGCGTGGCAATAGTGCAGTACAGTACTTGAGAAAAAGACTTTGGAGTAGTAGTTGAATGCTACTGATAATGAGTCAGCAGGATGATGCGATTGCAAAAATAAAGACAAAATTTTAAGGGCTTTAAAGGTCATAACCAATATCTTAAAGCCGCTGGGTGAGATCATCCGTCACCGTGGAGTGAGATCATCAATATGCTGATGATACTCGCTGTGCTTAGAGGCTCTTAGGGGCTGGATGGGAAGCAATGGGCTGAAACTGAACCCTGGCAAGACTGAGTGGCTCTGGGTTTGGGGTTCTTTGGTCCATAAAAAATTGCTATCTTTGTTCTTGGACAGGATGGTACTGTCCCAAACACACCCAATGTGTAATCTAGGGATTCTCCTGGATTCACAATCCTGCTCGAGGAGGATGTGGCAGTTATGGCCAGGAGAGCCTTTGCCCACCTGCAGGTTGTGCATCAGTTATGTCCTTTCTTGGGCCAACAATCCCTACCCATAGTCACTTATGCCCTAGTTACCTCCCATCTTGACTATTGCAATGCACTCTACATGGATTGTAGGGCTGCCCTTGAAAAGCATCCGGAAGCTGCAGTTGGTTCAATATGCAGCGACCTGCATGGTTTTTGCATACCTAGGTGTGCACATGTATTATCTCTCATGCGGGAGCTTCATTGGCTGCCAATTTGCTTCTGGCTACAATTTAGGGCGCTGTTTGTCACCTTTAAAGCCCTTCACGGCTTGGGACCGGGTTATCTGAAGGACCATCTCTTGCCTGTTACATCTAGTAGAGTGGGGAGGCAAGGAATGTTGCGGGTCCCCTCCTCTAAGAAGATACATCTGGCAGGACCCAGAAGAAGTGCCTTCTCCATGATGGCTTCCTCTCTTTGGAATAAGGAGGCCTACAGAAATTAAACTTGCCCGCACTCTGACATTCTTTCTTAAGGCCCTGAAGATCTGGGGAACCCAGAGTGGGATAGAGCCCATCAAATGGCTCAGTCAACTGTGTGTTGTCCCCAGGGATAGGGTGGGAGGGTTATTGTTTTTTGTTTTTTATTTTCTATACTGTGTTTTTACTGCTTGTAAGCCACCCAGAGTCACTGTGAATGAGTAGGTGGCCATAAACCAGGGGTCTTCAAACTTGGCCCCTTTATGACTTGTGGACTTCAACTCCTAGAATTCTCAGCCAGGCACGCTGGCTGAGGAATTCTGGGAGTTGAAGTCCACAAGTCATAAAAGGGCCAAGTTTGAAGATCCCTGCCATAAACAAACAAACAAACAAACAAAATTGCACTCAGCAGACCAGTTGCCAGTGAAGTTTGTGGAAAAAAGTGTAATATGGGCCATTCTAGGGGCCCCAAAGACAACTCTCACTGCCACACTTTGCACCAGCTGAAGCTCCCAAATGGATTTCAAGGGTAAGCCCCAGGTAGAGTGCATCGCAGTTGTCCAGACAAGAGATGACCAGAGTTTGAATAACCAAGTGCAGGGAGTCATGATTCAGGAAAGGTTGCAGGTAGTGCATAAATTAGAGCTGTGCAAAAGATGTCCTAGTCATGTCTGTCATCTGCTCTTTGAGCAGGAGATGTGAGTCCAGGAGATGGTTGACTTGTGGTCTCCTCTTCTGGAGCAACTGCTTGGAATATTGTGAGTGATCTCAAGTCCTCTTCTTGTCCCAAGAGGAATTAGGAAGAGCCTGTCTGTTTCCTCAGTCTTCATTCTGCCACATTTGTTTGCTCTGTTTTTAACACAGACATTTTCAGTTGGCCATTTCTTCCCCAGAAATGCCTATCCTCATCTTCCAATCCATCTTTTCTGAAGATTCAACATATAGGTTGAATAAATAAGGGGAGAGTACATTGTTCTACTGTGCTATGGCTTCTTGACTTGTATATACGGTTTTGACGAGGACAATTAGATGTTCTGGGATTCCCATTTTTCTGAGCATGATCAACACGATCAGAGGCTTTTCTATATAATCAATGAAGCAAGTATCTTCTTTTTAGTGTTCTTTGGCCTTCTCAGTTATCCAGTCTGCATTAGCAAATAATATCTCAGGTTTCTTGACCTTTTCTAAAGCCAGTTTGAACATCTGACATCTCCTTTTCCAGGTAGGGCTCTGCATTGGATGCTCCTAAGTGTTATTTTGCTAGCAATTAAGGATATAGTATGATAGTTTACATACTCTGTTAACTCTACTTTGGTATTTTTAATTTTTTTATTTATTAAATTTATATGCTGCCCATTTCATTGATGAGCAACTTTGGGTGACTTACAACATCATAAATACAGATATGTAAACAAAATTAAAACACCAAATACTAAAAGTTAACAACAACAACAACAACAACAACAACAACAGAAGATGGGAACCAAATAGAGTGGAGCTGGGATCTTCCTCTTAGTCTATTAACCATCTCCAGAGTAGGACCCTCCTATTGGAGCCCCAAGCCAATCGGCAGAGCCAGATTTCCAGGCCTTTTCAGAAAGCCAAGAGTATGATGGTGGATCTCAAACAGCACAATGTTCCAGAGTGAGGGAGCCACAGCAGAAAAGGCTCTTCTCCTGTCTATTGGCCACTGTATCATTCTCCAGTCTGGTTAGAACCTTTACTGATTCTTTTTCTGTCGCTATCCATATTGATGTGGCTTATTTCACCAGTTCCTGTAGCCTTCCAACTTGGTAATGACTGAAGTGCTGATCTTACTTCATCTTTTAAAATTAGAGGTTCTTGTATGTAAGGAATATCTTCTAAGGTATCTTGGATGTTTATATCTCTACTATACAGTGTTTTAGTATACACCTTTTCTTTAGCATATCTATTTAGAATCTTATGAATTCACAGATCCTTTGCACTCTTTTTAGACTCTGTCATCTTGGGGGCATTTTTATGAAGAGTAACTTGGGTAAAAAATAGTATAACAGTATAAAAAAGTTTATTCTTATTTGGCCATAGAGGAGATTGAACAACTCTTTTGCTATTTTGCTAATTGAAGATTTTGGATTGCAACATTGCATTTTGTGCATTTTCAGTATATGAACTGAGTATTAATAATACTGGCAATTGTAGAAGCTTCAAATATATCCTTTGGTGTAATTTGACATAGATAACTAAAATAATACTTTAAACGTTAAAAATTCTTTATCTTTTAGTGATCCAGGGGGAGGGATTGAGATGTCAGAGTTTATTCGAGAAGCCACACCTCCAGTAGGATGCAGTTCTCGAAATTCTTTTGCTGGCCTAGATCTAAATAACCAGGTAAGAACTGTTTGGGGGACACATGCCTTTTTTTAGTTAAGTTCAGCCGAAATATGAGCCAAATAACAGTACCCTTTAAAGCAGTGGTTCTCAACCTGTGGGTTGGGACCCCATTTGGGGTCGATCGACCATTTCACAGGGGTCGCCAAGCAAGGCTGTCCGCCATTTGTTTTGTCCGCCATTTTTTTCCCCTTTTCCGGCAGGTGCCTTACCTCCCTTGGGCTGGGCCAGCTGGTGGTCGGCCTGCTCCGTCTCTGCTGCTTGCCAGCTACGCCTCAGCTGGCGCAGGGGGCGGAACCACGCATGCACGGCGCTCCCGGGCAGGGAAAGTCCTCGACTTACGACTGGTTGGGTAGTCCTCGACTTACGACCGGTTTAGTCCTTGACTTACGACCGGTTTAGTCCTCGACTTACGACTGGTTGGGGTCGCGGCATTAAAAAGGTTGAGAACCACTGCTTTAAAGTTCATGGTTATTTTTATTTTATCCTCATTTGTTTTAGTTTATTGAGAATCTGTTGCTTTGTTTGCTTTTTGTCAACTTCCAGGATTTTAAACTATTGTCTACTGCAAGATCATACATTGGTTAAATTCTTCCAAAATGTTTTTTTTTTATTTACATAATTTGTTGAAGTTATTCTGACAATGAAATAGTTATTGTTGTTGCTATTCTTTGTAGTTGTTTAACACTGGGCTGATTGGATTCTTTGAATCATTTTATGTTCACGTATTTGGATGTCTGTAGGTATTTCTAATTGCAATTATTTTATGCATTATTGTTATGAGTGCTATTAATTCACATTATTTGAAATTGCAAATTACATTTTATGAGAGGAGCATAAATAGCACCATGATTTAGGAGAAAAAAAGCAATTCTATGATTAATTGTTGTTCACAAAATATTTTTTTTTAAAAAAAGCTTAAAAGTACCATTCCTGTTCTATTAATAAAGGAGATTTCAGGTATTTACTCCAGTTATCCCAATTTTGCCTAAGGTAAATTACTGATGCAACTCATTAGGTTATTTCTTTCATTTTAGATTGGATCAGGTTTATCTCGTCATGGAACTGCAGCTACCATTAAAGGTAACATTCTAATTTTCATCTTTGAATAACCTCAGCAAAAGTATTAGTATTAAAAGGCTTTTCCATTCCATTGTTGATAGGTGAAAAATAAAGCACAATATAAGAAACGTAAAAATTCTTATTGATCCCTGAATCCTGACAAAAAAATACAGAGTATCTTTAATTTAAATTTTATTTTTTTTTAACCATAAAATTGATATGTCAGGAATTCTTTCCCTTTGTTTTCCTGTAGCAATAGCAGGCTTTTTCCAGATTTGAAACCTATTACAATATTCTAGAATGTCTTCCAAGGTATTTCCGAGTAGAAACTGGTTTGAAATTTCACAGCTCTAGTTATCTTACATGTAATGATATTTATAGACCATATTCATGCCTTTGGCAATATATCCAGTAATTAAAGATGATATCATTTTATCTTAAGCTCTGTAATAATTCTTGTTTCCTAATATACTTAAATGAACTACCAACCCAATCTCTATAGCGCTTCTTCAGATCACAACTTCCATGTTCATAAAGTTGGAATAAGTCAGGTCAGGCCATACAGGTTTCCCCTCCTTGCAGTATTATTTGATGCACTAAATCTGTTCCAGTCTTTGGTTAGAGTTACTTTGGTGTTTCATTTGGAAATATAACTGTTTGTTTGTTTATTTGTTTATTTATTTATTTATGCAAAGATATTATAAGTTTTATATTTCACTTAGTTGAGCCTGAGGAGGTTTACAGTAATATATAAATAAAACATAGTTAATACCACAAAATGAACTAACGTCCATCATCAGCATTTAATTGCTCTAGAAAATAATAGTCTTAACACTTTCTGAAAAACAAGTAGTTAGGAACATTTCCTAACTTAGGAGAAAGTATAGAGCAGTGGTCCTCAACCTGTGGGTCGGGCCCCATTTGGGGTCGATCGACCATTTCACGGGGGTTGCCAAGCAAGGCTGTCCGCCATTTTTTTTGTCCGCCATTTTTTTCCTCTTTTCCGGCGGGTGCCTTACCTCCCTTGGGCTGGGCCAGCTGGTGGTCAGCCTGCTCCGTCTCTGCCGCTTGCCAGCTACGCCTCGCCCGGCGCAGGGGGCGGAACCACGCATGCGCGGCGCTCCCGGGCAGGGAAAGTCCTCGACTTACGACCGGTTGGGTAGTCCTCAACTTACGACCGGTTTAGTCCTCGACTTACGACCGGTTAGGGTCGCAGCATTAAAAAGGTTGAGAACCACTGGTATAGAGGATTTCAGGGCTTGGGGCTACCAAGAAGACATTTGGTGATTTCCCATCTTCATCACTTCACATAGGGGCAGGACCTTCAGTTTAGTTTGCTTTAAATAATGCATAAGGTGAACCAAATCTTCTTGGGGATATAATATTGAAGGAACTTGTTTTGTTGATATAAGGAATTTCATTAAAACATATCCTTAGTCCCTGCTGATTGCTCTGTGTCCTCAGTGTGTGTGATTTTGTATGGAAGAAGGGATTCAAAAATTACAAGTCATTAGTATAATTGCAAACAGTGCATTTAGAGGTGTTATTCAGTGCTCTTTCATCCCTATACGAAGGCTGAAACTTATTTTGGTTTTAAGATGTACTGACCATTTGGGATTTCATTTGCAATGTATATCCTCACCATATCATATATGAGAGTAGTTTTCATGCTATCCTCTTATAGGGATTATCTGGGACTGTTCACTGGAAATAGTAAGGTAAGCTCTGTATATGATGAGGTCTCACAGAATGCAACTGGCCTCCCTGTTGTAAATTCTGCAGCTTTTTGAATAGCGAACATAACACCAGCAAACTCTCTCTTAGTCTTTCACAATGTTGTCTTTTCTCTCATCAGTTTTGTTGTTGCACAGGCATATTAGCCAGGAACATAATGTAACTTAACATGGTGGAGATGCCCTATTATCATTTGGTATTCTTAGTTGTGCTGTCACAATGTAGTCTTACATCAATACAACAGGAATATGCAACAGTGTCCCTGCTGATGTGATGCACAGATTAGAGTGTACAATTCAGATCATTATAACTATAGGTAGAGAATTAAAAACACTTCTTAAATTCTATTTTCTTTTAGGAATACAGGATGATGCTTTCTGAACTAACACGTTATTTCTATTACTTAGGTGATACAGACACTGCAAAGACCTCTGATGATATCAGTCTGAGTCTGGGACAGAGTTCTAGTCTTTGTAAAGAAGGGAGCGAAGAGCAAGGTACGCATGTCTTGTGCAACCTGCTATGTGTTATATCCAGGGCTTTTTTTCTCATAGAACGCCCAGAATGGAGTTCCGGCACCTTTTTTGGATGGAACCTTGTAGGGTAGGCAAGGCGGGTTGTATGACGTGTGTGAGTTCCGGCACCTTTTTTTTTCTTTTTTTCAAAAAAAGCACTGGTTATATCCATGAATACTTTTTTAGTAAAACAAATAATAACTGTCTTAATTCTTTATTTGCAAAATAATAGTCATTTAACTGCAGCTTGCAGTATTAACTGATCATTTTATCTGTTATATAATCAAATCTAAAGTTACGGTGATTACATCTGAAGTCTTTTGCTATTCTAAAATCTTTTTTTTTCCCCCTAGCAAACCTCAGAGGGTGTTAGATGTGTCATAAGTGTTTTTCCTTGTGGATTCATATGCTAGTGATATGAATCTTAATGAAAGTAGCTTGCGAAGAGAATTAAACAGCTTTAAAAAAAAAAAAAAGACTTCTCTATAATGAACGATGAAGTGATTTTCACACATATCCATATGGTATATTTTGTATGCTTCCAGATCTGCAGTCAAGTGAGTTAATGCACTTAGTAGCATAACATTCATGCAATATTAATGACTTGTTTTTGTTATCTGGACTTCATCAAGAAATTAACTCATTGTAATTATCAAGACTGATTTCTTACAAGATTTTTTTTTGTTCATATTATTTTATTATTTAACTATGGGGGCACGATGGCTCGATGTTCAAATATGCTGAGCTTGTCAGCTGGAAAGCTGACAACCCAGGTTCGAGACCCAAGCGTTGTGTGACAGGGTAAGCTCCTGTTACTTTCCCAGCTCCTGCTGTTGATAAGTAAGGGACTGCCTCTTCAGTTTCCCCCATCCGCCTATGTCCCCATCTCTGCCCTTTTGACTGATGCCCACCAAGCTGGGCACTGCGACTCAGAGCATCTTGGTTCACCACGGCTCTGTGGCTGCAGGAAGGGCATAGATCAGTGGTTCTCAACCTTTTTAATGCCGTGACCCCAACCGGTCGTAAGTCGAGGACTAAACCGGTCGTAAGTCGAGGACTAAACCGGTCGTAAGTCGAGGACTAAACCGGTCATAAGTCAAGGACTACCCAACCGGTCGTAAGTCGAGGACATTCCCTGCCTGGGAGCGCCACGTATGCGTGGTTCCGCCCCCTGCGCAGGCTGAGGCGTAGCTGGCAAGCGGCAGAGACGGAGCAGGCCGACCACCAGCTGGCCCAGCCCAAGGGAGGTAAGGCACCCGCCGGAAAAGGGGGAAAAAATGGCGGACAAAAAAAATGGCGGACAGCCTTGCTTGGCGACCCCCGTGAAATGGTCGATCGACCCCAAATGGGGTCCCGACCCACAGGTTGAGAACCACTGGCATAGATGGTGGGGGAAATAGGTGATTTGGGGGGGGACTTGCAATGTCTTTGTGGTTATTGCAGGTGGGCCCCCAAGCATCCAAAATTTGATCATGTGACCGCAGGGATGCTACAACAGCTACAACTTTTGAGACTGGTCATAAGTCCCTTCATTCAGCCACTGTTACTTAGAATGGTCACTGAATTAATGGTTGTAAAGTGAGAACTACCTGCACATTGTAAAATGCTTATTCTACCTCTTTTTGGTCCTTGCACTAATTCCATATAATAGTTGTTTTGGTTATCATTGTTTAGGGTTTTGGTAGACTGTGATATTCTGATGCATAGATTTGCTGAATGGTGAATAATTAAGGAAGTGATAAGAATTGTGGATTTTAGTCATATTTGTTAGAGCAGATTCTGTATGCACACGTTAGCTGAAAAAGAAACCTAGAATAAAAGATATTTTATCGCAGTTTCTTAGTGTAATATGTGAGTATACTATTTCTGTTTATATCCTGTTGAAATACATTCATTTGAAGGAAGCTACTATAGGCATTTGCCTGCATGCTTATTAATTTTGTTTCTTTTTTTTTAAAAAAACAGATTTGGCAGCTGATCGGAAGACTTTTCATCTGATCTCCGTTGATTCCTTTGTGTCCATTCAGCCCTCATTGTCAACTGCACAGGAGCTATCAAGAGACAGCACTGATAAAGTGTGCCTTCCTAATCAGCATTTAGATCCTTCTGTGTCTAATGCATGTGACACTGAAATGGCTTCTCTTGTCTCTTTGCATTCACACTCCTATAGGAAAGATCATAGACCACGAGGTGTGCCAAGGACTTCCAGTTCAGCAGTTGCATTTCCAGATGTATCACTAAATGACTTTCCTCTCTATCAGCAAAGGCGGGGGCTGGATACTGTCAGTGAACTAGAAGCTTGCAAGCCTCGAACAGGATCCAAAGAATCATTAGCTGAGAACTCATGTATTTCTGGTGTATTTCAACTAGATGATATTCTAAAATGTAGTAGTCCACAACTGCTAGTCAAAAGCGGCAAGAGTAAATCTTTACAAGCAGATAAAAGTGTGGATAGCCTGAGAAGCCTGAGTACAAGAAGTAGTGGCTCAACAGAGAGTTACTGTAGTGGAACTGATCGTGACACCATCAGTACCATCAGCAGCTATAAAAGTGAGCAGACAAGTTCTACTCATATAGAAAGCATGTTGTCAGAGCATGAAGTGTCACCTAAAGAGGAGAAGAAAAGCAGCAAGAAAAAAAACTACACCGTTGATTCTGATGACTGTCATATTGCTCCTAACAAAAGGATGAGTACGGAAAGAACTATAGCTGAAACTAACACCAGCAGTTGCATTCAAGCAGAAGAATGCCTGAATGCATCAGAGGAGATGCACAATCAGAGGGCCCTTAGTACCTCTGCTTCAGAAGAAGCAAATAAGAATCCTCATGCTAACGAACTAACAACACAAACAGAACAGTCTCCCCGAAACCCTACCGTGAAAAGAGATGAACATAAAGAGAAATCTTCCATGGTTGACTCAAGAACTTTTAAGGAAATGGTAGAAAAGCAGAAAGAGGGGGATGTGCGACCTAAATCATGTAGCTTAATCCATCGGACAGCTTCAGCTCAAAAATCCAGCAGGAGAAGGACAGGGAAAAAACGGGCTAGTAGTTTTGACACAAGTCGACACAAAGAATATATTTCCTTCCGAGGGGTATCTTCTACCAAGCCCCACAGTACAGGTTTTTGCCATGATGAAGACTCAAGTGATCAAAGTGATTTGAGCCGAACTTCAAGCATGCAGTCAGCCCACCAGTTCAGCAGTGATAGCTCTTCCAGCACAACTTCTCATTCATGCCAGTCTCCTGAGGGAAAATTCAATGCCCTAAAGACAAAATATATTGCCAAAGAGAGAGGCACAGACTTGGAAAATTCCTACAAAATTCACTTGGGCACTGATGCAATTGTCAAAAAGCATTCAACCCGACAGACTCACAGTACAAACAGTGCCAAGAGTCGTACCAGGGTGTTAAGCTTGGATAGTGGTGCAGTAGCCTGTTTGAATGATCCAAATCTAATGATGCCAGATACAATAAAACAATTAACAACTTCTAAATCTGACTTAGAGGCCAAAGAGGGAGAAGTGCTTGATGAGCTATCTCTGTTGGGAAGGGCTTCACAACTAGAATCAGTCACTCGCTCTAGAAATAGCTTACCAAACCAGCCTATGTTTACTGAAAGAGAAGATCAGGAGAAGGGAAGCATTGGTAAGTAACTGGAATACTTAGATGTAGCACTGCCTATTAGTGCGGTTGTTCTCTACATAGTCTACATTGGCTTATAAGAAATTTCAACTTCTTGCAGGTCATCTATATTTTGGGTGTTTTACATTTTGAGATCATTTTATGCTAATGCTATTCTGAGTTCAATTAGCAAATAGTAAATACTATTACTAATATTGGATCCCTCAGCATGAACTGAGGCAGGTTGAACAAATACAACTGTACAGAATTGTTGAGGTTGGTTGGACACATTGGAATGTTGAGAATATGGTATTGATGCTTTCACAAAATGGATGTCTTGGCAGGCCTTGCTACAAATACCCATTTGTCAAAAGACAAACTGGCGAAGTTTTTCCCGGCTACCAAAGAATATAATCCCTGCTACTTCAGGTTACCATTTATTTTCTGATCTAGTGAGCAGACTTCCAAATAAAAAATCGGTTAAAGCTATCAATTGTATTAATTTTCTAAGAATTCCTGTGATTATGATAAATCAGAACAATATTACAGCCTAATGGCAAAAAAAAATATCAATTTTAAAAAGCCAGGCAGGAGAGGTAATCTGATAAACGCCCAATGAGATATCTGTAGGCATATTGGTACCCAAGCATATGATGCTTTGTATTTGTCATCTAGTATAATACTTACTTTTACCATGTTTCATCTGTAATAATGAGATAAAGTTGAACATACTTGCATTCTACTTCTTAAAACTCTTAAATATGTCTTAACATCTTTCCTTTTAAGTTTTTCCGTTGCATCTCTTTGTACTAGTGTCATGATTGAACAAAACACAGATTTCTTTTCTTTTGTAGTGTGGTACCGTCTGGCCTTTTTGTAAGTCCCATAAGTTAGCTCTTGATATATGTGTGGTTTCTATAATGTAACAATTCCTATTTTGCTTTCATCATCGGCAAATATTCCAGTGGAAAATGGCTGCAATATATATTTTAATGCTAAATTAGTACAAGTATTAAACAGATACTAATTTCTTCTATAGCATTTTCCAATATACTCAGTAGATTTAAGATCCATGTTTGTTTCTTGAGGACAGTGAAACCAGCTCTTTGGCCTTTGAGCAACTTGACCAATGCTTCTGAAGACCAAGGAGATTTTTCTTTCCCCAAAAATGGCTGTTATTTGATTCTTTAAGCATGTTAGGCGCTAGTTAGCTATTTGCTTGAATAGGTCTATTCAGGTTCCACTTTATGTCACTTTTAAACATACTTGACGCTCAAGAAAGTGTGAAGTCTATTAGTATAGGTAGTCCTTGACTTACAACAGTTCACTTAGTGACTGTTCAAAGTTAGAACATTATTGAAAAAAGTGACATATGACCATTTTGCACACTTATGACTGTTGCAGCATCCCCAGGCTCACATATTTTATATTCAGATACTTGAAAACTGGCTCACATTTATGACAGTTGCAGTGTCCCTGGGTCACCTTAGCACCTTTTGCAACTTTCTGACAAGCAAAGACAATGGAGAAACCAGGTTCACCTAACAACCGTGTTACTAATTTAACAATGCAGTGATTCACTTAACAAATGTGGCAAGAAAAGTCGTAAAATGGGGCAAAACTCACTTAACAAATTTCTCACTTAGCAACATAAATTTTGGGCTCAATTATCATCGTACGTTGAGGACTGCCTGTAGTAGCATCACTTCACAAGCACATCAGCTCCTTCCAGTTTACAAATTATGTTTCGTACAAACCCGAATTTTCATATAAAGTTGCCAGTGTTCAAAACACAATTTAGAACAGTAGACTGGCAGAAAGAAAAGCATCTCCAATTGACAGTTCTGGTTTGTAAGCACTTCCTCACTAGTACCTTGTACATTTTTAAGAATAAATAATGCCAGCGAATGTGATTTATAACTATAGTTTATATGTTGTAATTATAACATATTATAAATAATATATGTTCTTCTATCAATATAACTTGACCAATTAATATAACTGTTAATAGAAATTGCAAGTGAGAGGGTTTCTGATAACTTACATTGACTGGCTGCTTGAGTTTAATTACCATAAAATGTTTATATATACTCTGTGTGTGTGTGTGTTTGTGTAAACAGCCAGTCAATATAAGTTATCAGAAACCCTCTCACTTGCGATTTCTATTAACAGTTATATTAATTGGTCATACCAATAGAAGAGCATATTATATTTATAATATATTATAGTTATAATAAATAAGCTATATATATATATATATTATATTTTCTGGAACTATTTATATATACAAATGACTTTTTGTGTGTTTAAATTTTATCCCACTTTGTTTACCAAAGTAGTTGATGCTTCATATTTAAAGTATTTGCAGTTAAATGGGAAGGCAATCACTGTTTTTTTCACTTGTGAAATATTTTTAATAATTCAACAAAATATAAGTATAAACTAGCATTATCACAATCATTGATACAGAAAGGCTTATTCTTTCATTTTTATTTTATCATAAAGAGATACAGCAAGTAGAAATGTTGCTGCCTTTGTAATACAGTTTGATTAGTTGTATTGCAAAGTGAAATGCTGGGAACTAGAAGGATATCACGATTCCCAAGCCTTTACATAACCTAAAAATTAACAGTTTTTCTTTGTAGACAATCGTATAATAGTAGTGTCTCAGATTTATTTGTTAGTCCTTAGCATCATTTTTAAAAAATAAAATAAAAATGTTCATTTTTAAAAAAGAACTACAGACCAAATTTTATTATAACGTTGGAATAAAGTGCATTCTAAGCTTTTTCAGAACTAGGAAATTGCTCTTCTAACAAGTATCACAATTGATAATGTAAAGAGACTGAATTTAAAAGACCATTTTTCTGCATTTATGATATATTTGTTTTCTTCTCATCTCTTAATTATTAAGAGTACTACTCCAGTTAAGTTGTTTCTGAATTCATCTAATTAATAAAATATCAACTTCAATTTGATCCTCCAATTTCCACTTTTTTGCTGATTGGATCCAATTGTAACAGTGCTAACAGGCCAAGTTAGGTTATGGAGAATCCTATACTGTTTTGTGTGGCTTTTTCTATCATGAGTCAATGACGGCTGGTCAAGTGTAACTTGAATTAAAATTATTGTTAGCAAACACATGAACCAGATCTAGCTTTAAAACTGAAATAGCTGGGAGATGAAATCTCCATGATCTCATGAGAGTCATGATATGCATGAACTCATCAGATTGTGATAGTCATAATTAGCAACTGATGTAGTATTACATTTACTCCAGCTTCTCTTGATATAAATTCTCAGAAAGAAAGCTTTTCCATTCCGACATCATTCACTAGCATAATAGCTGACTAATAGGTTCATTATTTATGGTTAGCCGTACTAAACTTTCTTATGAGTAGAATGCAGGCAATAATTCTAATTTCAGAAGTGAAGAAAGTTGTAATGCACATTTTAGCAATTATTAATAGTTATAGTATTCTCAGTGGTGAGGTCTTCATAATAAACCTGTAACTTTTGTGGTGTAGTTCTTATGACATCAGTGGAACAGAATTCATTATAATACAAGCACTGATATTAATATGATAGGAAGAAGAATCTTCCCCCACCCTCATTTATCTTTACTATAAAGTAATATATGTTCGCTGGGAATAGGGTAACAGAATCAAATGCCCTTTCTTCTGTCATTTTTCTGTCATTCCAAGAGAAGTTTCAATCATCTTAAATTCAAAATAATTTTCTTTTTGGGTAAATATTGTAATTTATCTTTTGTTTGTAAAGAACTGACACCTTATGCACATAGTAGTGGTTATATTGGCTTATTTTATATAAACAATTTGCCATTCATATCTGCCAAAAGCAAACTTTAGGAACTAACTGCTGCCATTTAAATTTAGGTCAACATGTAAGATACAAGAGGTACTTTGTGTTCTTCTGTAACCTGCTGGAGCAGTTAGAAATGTGAAACATTGTAGGAGGTTGAATAAAAGAAGTATATGAAATGGTATTCTCAGAAGAAAAGAGATTCAGATTTTATTTCCCCATAGTATTTAGCATAGAAATGCAAATCTCCTAATTTCCTGTCAGCGTTAGTAATATTTTTTTCAGGGTAATAACTACTCTGGGTTTATTTGCAAGACTTAGTTACATTGTTTCCAATACTTGCACCACTTGTAGTGGAACTTCTATATTCTTCATTATTTTCCAAATTGTAAATGTTCTTGGTTCTATTTGCAATGTAGATCTCAACTTACTGTATTGGTATATTTAAATTCAAGGGCTGGAAAAAAACGTCAAAATGAGTGTGTTCGTGGATTGAAGAACAGAAGCAAACATAAGATATATAAGAAACAATATAAGATATATAAGAAACAATATAAGATAGCACTATTTTAAAATAATGTAGCATTATGAACTTCATTCTTGGCTGCGAAAAAAATGATTTTCTGGAATAAAATGCCAATTTATTTTATGCTCAACTTTGGAAAAAATAAAACCAACTAAAGTTGCTTTTTTAAACAGGCTTTTTTTCTTTGTACCTTGTAGGTTTACATAGTGAGAAGATGCTTTGCCAATAATGTTTTTTGATATCTTGGAATTCAGTTTTTAAAATTTATAATTTTCTCTCTTACCTCTTTATATCTGCTCCCTCTCCACAGCTTTTGTACAACCACAGATTCACATTAATATCAAATTGCTATTTTCTTTGAAGAAAATATTAAGACTGGGAAATAATGCAACAAAAGACTTCCATGAATAATTTACCTAAATCTGGAACAAAATTCATCTGTTTGAATTTTAAAATATTTGTAAGATTTAATTAAGATTCATGAATATGGTTGAAAAAGCCAGGGATTAAATAGGATCTCTTTTGAGAAGACATAAAAAATTGTTATGTGATATATATAACATAACTTGCCAATAAAATGTGATGATTTATTTTGAGAAGACATACTCTTATCTAAAAGAAGCTTATATAATTTACACAAATCCATCCATTATCTGTTTCCTGTCAAAGGAACAAGAAGAAAACAGTAGCATAATGAGTATGATAGCCTGAGTGAGAAACCCAGAATAGATAAAATGTTTCAGTGTTTAGTATGATGTATACTTATTTAGTTAATATAATTTGTATGTACTTTTTATTTTCACAGGAAATTTCAAAGCAGTTTATGATAAAAGCATTTTAAATTCAATACATTCCTGGAAACAAACAAACAAAGAAATAAATATTGGTATTTTATATCACCAGGGAAAACTGCCCATCTTGATAGAGGAATGCCAAGCTAGATGTATATGACTCCAGTTTTTGGTAGAAATGCTTTGTTTCTGAGGCCTGCCTGGCCTTAGTACAACATTCTGATGTGGGTGGACACCATGAAGTTTTGTTTATTCACATACAGCTATTCATTTCCTTTTTAACTGAGCTATATTAATGGGCAATAAACAGTCTAAAGCATAATTTTTAAGGAGAAAAATAGATATTAAGTTGGAAGATTTGAGCACAAGACTAGTTTAACACATCCAGTATTTCATTATGTGGATGTTATCCATTCAGTCGTTTCCGACTTCTGGTGATTCTATGGGCCAGGTCTCTCCACATCTGCTCTTGCACTGCTTCTTTGAGTTTTTCTATACTCTGGTTGCTATCAGCTTTGATGGTGTCCAGCCACTGTGTTCATCCAATATTTAAATGATAATATTCAGTGGCAATGCTGTATCCTAATTTTCTGATAGAAATATAGTATATGATAAATGAACTATCAACTCTACTAAAACGGCTACAGTGATTTAGCAGTGTGAATTAGCATAGTGATCAGTTGGTTTTTCTTTTTAAAGCGAACACACCAGGATTCTGAGCATCTAGCAGTTATCCATATTCCTGTGGCCTCAAGTTATTATCTGGATACATTTTCACATCTGTTTTAAAGTGTTTTAGAATGGACATTGCCTCTCATTCCTAGTTAAACTGTAAATACTATACAGTAGTGTCATATCCTGTCTAGTCCAGGTGGTTGATGATTAGGATTGGGAGGGGCCTTGTAATAACCACTGTCATACTTGCATAATTTAGGACAATTTTGATAGTTCTTTGGGGTATTTTATTTCTGTTGTTTTTGTTTGCATCAGTAGCATATATTTTCCAAAACACAAAGGGTAGTGTTAGTAGCTCTTTTTATTGATGGATATTGCCTGCAAACAACCCTTCTGGTTCACAAAATGATTACGCATAATTCCTTCTGGTAGCCTATGTTTAGTTCTACACTAAACTTGGGTATACATAGTTTTGACTAAGTCAGAAGAGGAGTCTTTACATGATATACCTATTTTATGAACCATGGAACATGATTTCTAAGAAATGCCATTCTGGTTGCTTGTAAGAGAAGCCAGCTATGTATTAGAAATATGTGCTCTCTTTAAACTGAAGATGTTTATGTATGTGTATGGCTTAGATGACATAGTTAACCATGTTTTCCAAGGTGCAATGGCTTGTTCAACGAACTATTGAGTGCCATTCTGTCTAAATCAAGCTGTTTTTCATTTTTTGTGAATGAAGGCAGTGTCTAAAAATTCAGTGTAAGCAGAACAAGCCTCAAATCCCATTTCTCCAAGCTAATCAACACTCTCAGAGGCTTCTGCTCTCCACCACTGAAAGCCATTAAGATATAATTATTAAAATATTGGACTGGGATTGGAAGTGACCCAGTTCAGTTCTTTGTGGCTTGGATGACATAGGACAGTCTTAGCCTAATCTATTTTTGTTTTAGCTTTGAGGATAAAATTGGTATGGTGATGAAAATAAGGTATATATATTGCCTTGAGCTATTGCAGAAAAACAGAATAATAAAACTGAATTCTAGAATGTAGATATCTGTAGTACTCAGCAGTGTCTGAATTAGAAGATTAATACTGAACTTTGGCTTGATAACATTTAAATTATTTTTCTATTTTTATTCTTCTCCCATTGTTGGGCACAACCTTCAGTAAAGAAATTGCATTGGTCTGATGAGAGCGGCCATCGCTGCTGAGTGTCATTTCTTTTAAAAGTATAATTCAGTAGGGGTTTCAAAAGTAATCTTTTATTTATTTCAGTTTATATAGTCGTAAATGCTGTTAAAATGTGTTTGAGAAGGCAGTTAAATTTTAAAGCTAAAGTATATACAGCTATTTTAGTATAATTACATATTAAAAACTGTGATTCCCTCTTCTTCAGAATCTGTCAGAATCAGATTATAGGAGTCAGATAACTGGTTCCTAGGAAGGCAAGAAAGCTATTTTCAGAAACATCCAACAACAACATTTTAAAACCCAGTTACTTGAACTTCCTATTCTTCACTCCTGCCCAAGGATAATCAGTGGAAGAAGTTCATTACCACAGATCCTCAAGTCGTTAAAGAAGATATTTTTAGATTCATGTACAATGTTTAAATTAAATTAATTATTTGAAATATATTTTCCAAATATATGCCATATATTTCCAGGACAGATATGCTTGCTAATTAGTTGCTAGAAAACAGTTGCTAGAAAACAGAAATATTTGGGAAACTTGAAAGAATAGGTTAGGGATAGACCGTCCTGAAAAAAAAAAATCATTGTGTGGTCGCTAGAACTTGAAAATGATTTGATGGCACATAATAAAAACAAAATAACATCAAGGATTCTATATGGTATGACCTCAAACCTTTGATCCTATAGTTCACATTCTCTTGCATATCATAATTACATTTGTTAGTGGAAAAAGAGCAACCAAGATTTTTTTTTCTTGCATTTTGTACATCTAGACAAAGTAAAAACAAGATTCAAAGAAATATGAAATTTCTTTCATGGAATCAAGGGAGATTGAAGGTTCCCCCCACACCCCCATTCTTACCCCGCAATTTCAATTTTAGTATAGGATTGCCTATAACTTTTTAAGAAGGCTTTGTGGGGTCCATTTAAAAAATAACTTATTTAATTTAGATTTTATTTGAAGTTAAGATATATTTTCAGCGGGTGCTTAAAAACTATTGATTTTGTGGAATCAAATTATTATTTTTTAATTGACTTAATCACTCCGTTTCAAACAGGAAAACCATAGCTGGATACTTGTTAAGCTGACCATTCCATACTTATAGTCTCTTACTTGTCAGTGAACTAAAATGATCAACTGATTTGCAGGAGAAAGAACAATTTGTGGGAAAAGCATTGGATGGTGTAAACATTATTGGTCTGAGGTTCAATTTGACTTGGTCTATCTTGATGCAGCAGCACAAGCCAATGAGGAAGCAGTCACAGTTCGGCGTGAACGCAGCACATTTAGGCGTCAGGCAGTACGGCGCCGTCACAATGCAGGGAGTAACCCTACCCCTCCTTCATTGCTCATCGGCTCTCCCCTCAGGTATGGTATTTGTGTTCCACCGTATCTAACATGCATGCAGCTGATCACTGCTCCCAACTCCCAATGGTGTTGTAGGCATGCTTTGTTCTGCCTTCTCTCCTTACCCCCACCAATCAAACTCCTTAAGCTGTTACTGCATGCATTCGTGATACTTTTTCAATTGTGCATGTGTACACTAGGTTGTTCATTATTTCGTCCATCTTTTTAAAATGATTAGTCTACTGAAAGTCATCTAAGACAGCTAACAAACTGATCTGAAATTAGCTCTTTCATTTAAGTTTCTAATTTTTTTCCCAATGTATTATTTTTTTTCTACAGATATTAAATGTAGAAATTGCTTTAAATAATTCATGAGTTATCAGGGCAGAAAAACCAAAATATATTAAAGTAGTCTAATATTTTTGGAGACATTCTAATATATTCACCTCCATCTAGTCTTTAAATGTAAATTATATAATTTTTAAAAATCTTAAGTCCATGTTTCTGCTTTAAAATCTGTTAGCTATTATATTTAATAAGCAATTAAATAATAAATAATAAATCTCAGACTTAATTGTAGTATAGATTTCATAAAGATATTTTCTACTGTAAAATCTGAAATAAGTATTAGTTGTAATTGTGCAGCACTGCTGTAACTTCAATGTTTGTATATCTCACAGGTCACAGATTTTCTCTTGTATATGCTATTGAATACACATAAAAAGCAAGTGTCAAGAGAAAAAAAAATACTGGTGCCGTGTTGGAAAAATATTCAAATTCTAAAGTATCATGTGAGGCGCTTTGGATTTTTATAAATACATCTATTTTCCAATTTGGAAACCAGTTTGTTAGATTGGATGCTGATAGATAACCAGAGCATTCCACACTTAGCAGTTTCTTCTGGATATCCCTTTTAAGTTATTCCTGCGGATTAAGTGGCTCTCTGAACTATGTGTAATAGGCTGGCAATCAAATGGTGGAATCAGGAAAATTCAGTAATGCTATTCTGTTCTTGTAAAACATAAACATAGAATTTGGGGGCATTGAGAACTGCATGTCAAACTTGTAGATTATATAGTTGGAACCAGGGGGAATTGGGCATGATCAAAATAGAACACTGACATATCTAACAGTATTAAATCTTTCTTATACTCCTCAACTTCACGTTGTAAATTTATTTGTTTCTTTGTACTTTCCCACTTTGTCTACCCAATTTAATTTTAACAAATTATGGAAAATTAGAGGCATCTAAGGAAGGGGTAGGGGTAACTATACAGAATGCTTTAGGAAGAAATTACATATGGGTCCAACAGCATATAATATATATCTCAGGGTTGCACTATGGAGTCCTTGGTGCTCTCTGAGTTTGGTTGTTTGTTTGCAGACATTTCGTTACTTGATTAAGTAGCATCATCAGTACTAGTGAATGTGGGGTTTGCCCCCTGTTTATATATAGTAGCTTCCCTGCCAGTGTGATGGGGATGTGGTTTTCTCCTTGGTAGTTTTTTGATTAGGGTACTGTTTTCTGCTTAATTGTTTTTCTGATGTTAATTCCTGCTTATCTGGATGTTTTTGCTACAAAGGATATGTTTTGATCTTTTTGTTTCCTTCTTAGCTTTTCTTTTTTGTCTCTCTTGAATGGTATGTAATTGTGTTTTGTCTCTATGTGTCTATTGATAGCTGATTTGTCAGAATGCCAAATTTCAAGGAATTCCCTAGTGTGGTTGAATTTGGCTTGGTGTAGAATGCTCACAGTTTCCCAATTGAAAGTAGGATTAATTCTGTCTGTTAGTTTAATTATGAGATTAAGTTTTCATTTTGTCTTCTGATTGCTAGTTGGTGTACTCTCCTAGTTTTCTGCCTGTCTTGTTATAGTCCTTGTACTGTATGTTGTAGATTACTTCTGTTTTTTTCTTCTTGGGCTGATGTGTCTTTTGGTTTACTTAAGATTTGGAGGGGGGGCTTTAGTTGGTTTGTGTGCTATGATGATATTGTGTAGATCCATAACTAGGAAAAGAATCCACCACTTTCAGGTTTTATAGCAGGGACTATAATACAGTATCTAGAAACTTGCACTTCCACACGTACAATCAAAAGTATGGATCCAGTATGTAGACGACACCTTTGTCATAATAAAAAAGGAACAACTAGAAGACACATGAAGCAATCAACATCTTTAAAAGAATAAAATTCCACAAGGGAAGAAGAAAACAACATATTATATAGTCTGGATATCATCATTAGCAGAGGAAGTGATGGCAAATTAGAAATACAACTTTTATCGAAAAACAACCCACACTAATCATTAACAAAGTAACAGCCCAAACTCCCTAAATAGCATATTATTCAGATGAATATAAACACACTGCAGCAATACACAACTCCAGAAAAAAAAAACCTATGCAACATCATCCAATGAAATGTATATTTTTTTCAACTTTATCAAAAAGTCCCTGGCCACTCAACCCGCTGTAGCACAACCAACACAAGTGATGAAAGGGCAACACTGCAATACAACAAAAAAAATCTCAGAAACAACCAACAGATTATTGCAACTACATGGCATCACCATAACACAGAGACCTACTAAAGTCTCCTCCAAATCATTCTAAATCAAAAGACCCAGTAGTCCAAGAAGGAAAAATAGGATCTCTCTATAACACACAGTGCAAGGATTATAACAATCATTATGTAGGACAGGCAGGCAGAAGACTAGCAGAGGGCATCCATGAACACCAACTAGCAGTAAGAAAACAAAATGAAAACTCCTTAGTCACACACACATGAACAGACTCAACCATGCTTTCAGCTGGTAAACTGAGCATCCCAGACCAAGCTAAATCCAGTAATCTTAGGGAATTCCTGGAAACTTGACATTCAGATAAATCAGCCATCAATAGAACATAGAAATAAACCACATTAACACGCCATTCAAGAGACACTAAAAAGAAAACAAAAAGATCAGAACACATTCTTTCCATCAATCAACACCCAGATAAGTAGGGTGTCATGGTTCCGATAGATAAAACCAGTTAAAAGAACTTCAAGGCAAGAAATTCTTCCTTAAAGAACATTTTATTAGGAAACAAAGTATTGGCACTTACATAGTTGAACCCAAGACTGAAATTCTCTCCCCCTAGATACAAAGTAACAAGTTACAGTTCCCACCCCACAGAAGCTGTCAGAAATCAGATTCCCCAATTAGCGTAAAACGTAGGCTTTTCCCTCCAGCTCTTCAGCCCGGCAAAACCTTACCAACAATGTCCTTGAGTTCCCAGCTACTGCATTTGTTATGGCTAGATAAACCCTCAAGCATTTACCCCATCCCCCCTTCTACATCTAAACTCTAAAACAACAGAAAAGGCACTTTAGAAGCAAAGGTAAAATGGCTGCTGAATCTCAGTTGTCAGAGTGTGGACATCCATTGTCACAACATTGACACAGGGTTTAACTGGAGACAAAATCAAGCAGAAAAAAACATATGCACGCAAACAACCAAATTTAGAGAACCACCAAGAACTTGAGAATTTTATGAAATGCATCAATGGCCTTATTAAAAATCAATTATGATACTTTAATAAGATACTGAAATAAAACCAATAACATACAATAATAGTATAAATATAACAGTACACAAAATGTTTTAGAACAGAACTATATAATGCAATCCAGAATAAAAAATGCACAATTGTGCATAAAATAAGAATTCTTGTCATTTTACAATGTAAAGTGAGTATGCAAATATATTTTGCATATGCCTCAATAATCTGAATGAATTTCATGTTCACAAATGATCTGTATGTTGACTAATAGTCATTAGTTGAAAAGTATTGGTAAATTTCCTCCTTTAAGATTAACTCCTTATTAAATACTTAATAATTAATAACATTGGAATAATTTCTCATATTCCTGCCTGAGCAGGGGGTTGGACTAGATGACCTCCAAGGTCCCTTCCAACTTTATTATTATTATTATTATTATTAAGTACAGAAGAGAACAACAAACTTATTAGTTCCTAAATCTGTCATTTAATCTTGATTATTCAGAACTGTCTTGAAAGCAATCCAAACTGGATATGAAGTCATAGATAATTCAGTGAATATCGATGAAGCATTCTAAAATTATTTTTGTTAATATTAGGAACATATTTTGTATTTTTATATTTTAATATTATAATGTTTAACCTCAACACCCAATGTTCTAAAAGAGGGAAAAAAGAAGAAATGTTTAACTGATTGTCCAGAGACTGATTGTCTCATTATTGGGTAGCATGACAGTATAATTAAATGAAACATTCTGGGTAAAATTAGTACTGTTAAAATTCTAATGAAAGTAAATGTTTTACATTTTTGATTCTAAAGAGTATAGAACTAGTCCTATTTTCCATGCTGCTTTGTGTGTAAGTGGAATAAAATTATACCACTGTGTCCTCCTTTCGCCTATATAATCTTGATACAAAAACTCTTTGGATATATTCATCATGATACAGGTAGTCCTTGACTTACGACCACAATTGAGCCCAAAATTTATGTTGCTAAGTGACAAATTTGCTAAGTGAGTTTTGCCCCATTTTACAACTTTTCTTGCCACAGTTGTTAAGTGAATCATTGCAGTTGTTAAATTAGTAACATGGTTGTTAAGTGAATCTGGCTTCCCCATTGACCTTGCTTGTCAGATGGTGGCAAAAGGTGATCCCATGATCCTGGGACACTGCAACTGTCATAAATATGAGCCAGTGGTCAAACATCCGAATGTAAATCATGTGACCATGGGGATGGGACAGTGGTCACAAGTGTGAAAAATGGTCAGAAGTCACTTTATTCAGTGCCGTTGTAACTTCAAATGGTCACTAAATGTTGTAAGTCGAGGACTACCTGTATTTCACTTGCCAATACAAATGCATGTTCTGTGGTACCTAACTGATTTTAAATTTCCCATTCTAGGGTTTTTCAAGTATAATCGAAGTAGCCAAAGTAGAAAGTGTTACTTGTACTTATAGAAGTCCACACGAAAGTATTTGT